AAGCACTTCTTCTTCTAAACAATCCACCTTGTTGACTTCTCGGCCAATAATTTGTTCCAATTCGAATACTGCTAATTTGTCTTTCAACGCTTTCAGGGCTACCTCTTCTTTCGTCTTGTCTTTGCATTCTTTATTGAAAACCATTAATTTGGCTTTGAAGGCCTGAATATCGGTCATTTGCTCTTGTTGCTTCGAACTCATTCAGGACTCCTTGATTATTCTTTTGCCAATTACTGGCTCTTCTAGGGCCACTATATTTGGCCTCATCTGACTGAACATTTCAGTGAGTTCGTCCACTGAAAATGGCTCTTCACTCTGCGCGACAATCTGAGTTTCTTCCCCATTTTGGACTACCCTGACAGGTTCATAGTTTCCTTCGTACATGAACCTTTCCACTGAGTTTGCTTCTGCAACAAAGGGCCTATGATCGGCCTGTACCACCTTTGCTTTACCCTTGTTATTCCAAAAAATCAGGCATTGATGGAGCGATGAGGGTATACAGCGACTTTCGTGTATCCAATCTCTTCCTAATAATACATTGTAACTAGTAGGACCATCTAGTACAAAGAAGACTGTAGTCCTAGTAGTTGTACCTATAGTTATGTCCAATGGCATAACTCCTTTAGCTGCAGTTGCTCCTCTATTTAAACTTGTAAGGATGACTTCTGTTGAAATCATATCCCCTTCTGTCTTTGCAATTTTCCTCATCATCCTAAATGGAATGGTGTTTATAGCTGCTCCATTATCGACAAGTACTTTTGCCACAGGTATGCCGTTAACTAGAGCTTTAACGTACAAAGGCCTCAAGTGTTTAGTCAATTTCATGGCTAGCCATTTAAAAATAACCTTTTCGGCAGCCTCTATTTTTACTTCCTGCTTGTCCTCTGTCGAGTTATCCTTTTGTGATAAGTCAACGTGCAGCATATCGCACTGAGCCTCTATCTCCTGAACCTTTTTACTGTTTTCTTATGCTTCATCTTCAGTTACCCAACCTGTGAGAGGAGACATTATTCTTGAAGGTGATCCATACTTTTCAGAGTGGGGCACTCTCTTCTTCCTTTTGGGCGTCCCGTACAGCACGTAAAAATCGAAAGAACGCCCAAATGGTTCTCCCAATAAATCTACTTCACGAACTCCCTCTCGATGTAGTTGCTTCAACAGAGTATTGTACGATACTCCTCTCCTTCTTCTTTCAGCTTCTAGGTCGATTTCCTCTTCAATGTCTGTCATACCATCATCTTCTTCACCATTGTAGGCGTCTCTAGAAGTCTGGCCTTCTTCATATTTCAGCACGCATGCTTCTCCTTCATTATCCTCTCTTTCTTCTTCTTCTTCTTCTTCTTCTTCTTCTTTCTCTTTATTTTTGAACTCATTGGCTAGTAAATAGTTATTAGCCACAACAGGAGGTAACGTACCGAACTGAATAGTAAGGGGCTGATCTGGATCTTCTCCATCCCTTCTGTCTCGCTCAAACTTCGATCTCCCAGAAGAAGTTTCTGGCAACTCTTTCATTGATTCATCTGTACCAGTCTCTTCACTATCTTTGAGAACATTTTGATTGGCTACCTCGAGTAGTTTAGGGGCCTTAGGACATGACACTCCCTGTTGTTGCCTCATCATTCGTCCAAAATTTTGTTGGAAACGCCTTTGTTGGGTTCTAGTCATCTCGTTGAAAGGTATCGCCTTTCCTGCATTATAATGGAACGAATGTCATACATTTGGTCGGCGAGGTTGCGGCCTGAATGCTCTCCCATTATTTACTAGCCTGAACTGCCTCTCAAAAGGCGGTCCCTTATAGAACGATGTACATCGCCCTCTACCAGACTGAGCGTTTGGGAAGAAAGTAGGTCGATGGGGATGCTGCCATATCCCTGGTTTCTCCGTATTCCCACTCACTTCTCTTTTACATCTTACACATAAGACGTCTTCATCTTTTTTTGGCTCCTTCCCTTTAATACGCTCAAAGACACTGGGATGTGGTCCAAGGTCTTCTTCTCCATCATCTATAACCAGTTTGAATTTTGGCAACTTGTTTTTGAAACCAGACGTCACCATATTCACTCCAAGTGGCTGTGGAAAAGGATTTTCATCCACTGTCATCTTCTTCTTATCATCGAACATAATTCGTCCTGATTCAATGGCATCCTGTAACACATGGCGAAAAATCAAGCAATTGTTAGTCAAATGTGACTATGCATTATGCCACTTACAATATTTTTTACCTTTAATTTGTTCAGGGTTTGACAATTTATGCTTATCGCTCAGCTTTATCTGCTTATCCTTATATAATTTATCAAATATAAGGTCAGCTTTGGTTACATCGAACGAGAACGTTATAACTTTTACGTTTTCATCTTTCATAAGCTCATCCTTACCCGATGGTCTAGGCTTAGCCATTATAGGACAAGTATACGTGTCTTCTTTGACTAATTCGACCAAACACATTTCGGTCTGATCATATGACTCGTTATTGATGGTATGAACATCAGAATTTGGTCTCTATAATAAGTCCCCTTACTAGAATTTTTTATCTGCTCTTCTTCTCTTATCAATCGTTCATACCTAATCACGTTCGCGCTCAATTGAAAAAGGTCAGGAAATTCCTTATCTTGGAATTTCTTTTTCAAATCAAAGCTCAAACAACCTTGAGCGATTTTGACAAACTCTTTTTCTGGCAGAGGTACAAAACATTTACTTCTTGCTGTCTTGAACCTTTGGAGGAAACCTTCTGCCCATTTGTTTGGCATTTGACGTAGGTTCGCCAAATCGGCCAAAATAACTTCAGACTCAGTCTTATAAAACTAAGCGTGGAATAATTGTTCCAATTGTTGCCATGTTTGAGCAGAGTTCGCTGGCAAATTGATGAACCAGGAGAAAGCCACTCCTGTTAATGAACTAGGGAAAAGCCTTATTTTATGATAATCAGTTACGTCACCACTTTGCAGTGTGAATCGTCCTATGTGTTCTAGAGTAGACACCTCCCCTAAACCGGTAAACAGTGAGAATTCTGGCACTTTATACCCTCTAGGCCATGGATATGCTTGGTCTATCCAATTAGGATATGGCTTGTGTAAGTCGGCCTAATGACAGGACGTACCCCAAAAGCCATCTGGTCCTGTACGATTTTCATAATCTGATTCCTCAACATGACGTTGGGGTCATATGGAATCCCTACAGGTTGGTTGACCGGTTGATTTGCTTGAGGCCGGATATTTGGTCCTTGATTAGGAATAAAGTTACCATGATTTGGGCTATTGTTATCATTAACCTGAACATTTATTTCCTCATTAACACGTGGGGTATTCTACCCATTATTTAGGACATTATCGCTTACATTTGGATTACCCCCAAGTTAGGCGTACCACTACCATTATTCTGATTTGGCGTTACACCATCCCTTTGATTTGAAGTAGAGGGAACGAAATGTGGTTCTACCCCTTGACTTGGATTTAGGACTGGGGGATTATGTCCCACAATTGTCCTAGTTTGAAAGTGGTTTGCAAGAGGCATAACTGGTTGACAAATTTGGCCTACTAACTTATTCATTATTTCGTTCAAAGTACTCGGTTGTTTGGTCATATTGTCATAATGTGCATTCCCATTCTGGGTAAATCTTTCCATATTATGAATATTTCGAAAATTTACCTGTTCAATGACATCTTGTGTGAGTTCTCTAAGTAGTGCACGCATAGTTCGAGGACTCAACTCTATCATTGATTTGTAATGACTGTTACTGCTCTGATTCTGTCCATCTGTTCGCGGAGAGCTATGCTGCTCCTCATATCGCTTGATCATAGACTGGACTCCTCCCTGATTTACTGCTTTCTTATCGGATCTCTGAGGCATATTGTTTCACCTTTTGTATCTTCAACACCAAACACCACTGTCCCACTGGACGTGCCAAATTGTTTCGCGCGAGTTAGTTGCTAACAATTAAAAAGGGATCAGACGATTGTGTAAGGGACAAACATTTTGAGACAAAGTCCCGAAAAGGGGTGTTTTTATTGGCGATAACTTTACAATTGGAAAATAAAAACAGAATGTCTTCAAAGGGTGCAAGCACATGAGTTACTGAAAAGAAGTGTTTAAATCTAAACTAAGAAATTTAAAGTTACATATTCTCTGTTTGAGAATGTTTGATTCGGGGGTCCTTTTGCTCTATGTCTTTTCTTCCTTTTATACTCCCTGGATGATCTCTTCGTGATCAACCGCTTAAAAACTGCTTGATCGCTCTATAACTGTCCACTTTGCTCGTAGTGGCCAACTTGTCATGGAACTGCCTTCTCTAACTGCTGCCATTACTTTTTGTCGTTCGACCGTCTTCAATTGAATTCCTTGAATCGTGGAACGTGATAGGGCTACTCAATAACTGGTTCATTAACCGCACCTTTGGGTAACCATAACATCTTACGTTTGCTAAGATTTTGGGCGACTCGAAGGTTTGGGCGAGAATAGGGGCACAGTTCTGAGCAACTGCATGGCAATCCATTCGTTCAAATCTTGGGCTACTTGTAACCTTGGACGATGGTATTACAGCGTTCATGGGCTTCCCTATTTGGGTATTTATCCTGCATTGTCTGATTGGGTCGTTCTTTGGACTATTTGATTTTGGGGATCTTCCAATTGGGCTTCATTCCTTGAGCTATTCGACTTGGGCTGAACTTTTTGTGTGTCAACAAAATCAAAAGATATAAACTAACAAGATTACTAAAAAATCAAAGATTTTAAATTTTTAAATAGTTATTGTTTATTCAAGAAGCATGAGCTTTACATTAATAATATATTCGATTGAATTGATACAAATTATACAATATGAAGTAAATTTCAACAGTTCATTTACCAGTTTTAGAATCACACAAAACTATACGCACTAAATTAAGTAATTTTTAACAGTTAATGAGCAATTTTTAGAATTACACAAAACCTTATGTACCAAAGTGAGCAAGTTTCAAAAGTTGATATATCCGTTTGAGAATTACAAAAGATTCACGTATCCAGTTCTCTCTACTCCTTTTTCCAATTTCCGCAACACCATGGCGATGAATTTGTCGATCCTCCATTACTTAAATATTCAATTCAAAATCTTTCCATGCGTAGTCAGTCCCTATTTTCTCTCTCAAAATCCCCTATTTGTGTCACACAATCCTCTCCTCCGTCTCTCTCTGCATGCTTCACTGTTCATGCTTCTCTGCATTCGTAACAATAATGTCGATTTCATAATTGATTTTTCCGTTTTGTGATCTTACAATTGTTAATTTTATCGATTTTGGCCTTGCATTCGTTGGAGAAACAATGAGCGGCGCTTCTAGGGTTTCGATTCCTAACAATCTGAAGAAGACGATCCAGGACATCAAGGAGATAGCCGGAGAGCACAGCGATGAGGATATTTATGCAATGCTCAAGGAGTGCAGTATGGATCCCAATGAAACCGCTCAAAAACTCCTCTATCTTGGTATATACGTAATACGCTTGTTCATACATGAAGGCTCGCGCATGCATGCCACAGACATATATATATGTATATGCAGATATCTTGTTCACGCCAGCACTTGTGTCTATAGTTGTGTGTTGTGCGTTAAATTTTTGATTTTGATGGTGTTAAGTTCTGATCTGTCTGTATATTAGGTTAATTTTTTCAGCTAATGACTGAAGAATTAGGGACGGATGAAATATATGAATCAAAGGCTTTAGTTAATCCCTGCAGTAAAAATTGAAAAGCTTGCTGCAGTTTTTTAGCTATTGCACCCTCAGATAAGCAATTATCTATTAAGTATTTGATTATCTTAATCACATAGAAATTATATGTTAAGTGGTGCCCTGGAACTGTATTTTTACTGGAACTTTACTTTTTTTGGGTATATTTTTACATGTTTTCTTGATATGGGAACAGGGATCTATTCTTAAATACAGCAAATATTAACTTTCATTTTAATTGTTCTATTTAATCGAGTTGAGAAACAGTGAGCAATCTGATAGGCTTTCACGTGGTCTATGAATTTGTAGTCACCTTTTACTGTCTTGAGATAGTTTTTCAATTGCAATTACAATGATTCTGTTTCATGAAATAAAGAAATGTAAATGGTAATGATGAAATAAGATGAATGCATATTAACATATTGATTTAAGTTAAAGCATGAAATATCAATTTCACCTGTTTGCTTGTAGCCTATTTGGAACATAAAATTTCCACCTTACTTGAAATACAACTCAACAATCTTTTAAATCTATGAGCTTCAGCAAGCAGTTTGAAAGGGACAATACTTGCTTTTGACCTTGTGTTCTGTATTTATTTTTGATAGTCTGAGAATTGTCACATGGTGGACATAGTGCTGACCCTCATACCAATTTTTATAATTCCATAAATATTTGAGCTAGATAACCTGGAAATCTCAATTTTATACTGTTTTGCCTTGAGATTGTGGCTATTAGGGGTTTCAGAAATATAAGATGCAAATTTTCTCCCCTTTCTGTGGCTTCTGTTCCCTCTTGTTTACTTTTAGCAAAAAAAGTGAAAATTAAGTCCTCTGACACTCTTTGAGCTAAATACGAATTCATTCATTTGTCTTATAAGCTTGTATTATTCTGCTAACCTTTACAAATTCTGGGTGTCTTCATGCTTGTATTTACCTGTTTCTCTCCTGATTCTTTCTTTTATATTCTTAAAGTGATCTGAAAACAATTGAGTATGATATGAAATTTGATATGCACATCACATCTGTAATTCATTGTCATTATTTTCTATTTGTAAATGCAACAAACCTAGGCTTGATTTTGCAGACACATTTCACGAGGTCAAGAGCAAACGTGATCGGAGGAAAGTGGTGAGTTATTTGATTGAACATATTCCTTTTCAGTAGCTTGCGCTGGAATAATCTCTTTCAGCATCTGCCGTGTTTGTCTTTCCCCTCTCTGCATTTTAGTATCAATGAACCCTGAAGAAGGTTCTTAGCATGATTGTGCTATGAGTTTCTGAAACCGAGTTAAGACTCAGTTGTTTTGGAGGTTTTTTCCACGGTTTAGTCTTTACATTGTCAGCACAACCTCTTTCATTCTTCCAACTAATGTCTATCACACCTGTGGAACAGTTAATCTTGTTAGGGTGCTGTATCGTTCGGCTTGAACCCTTGCCATTAGATACTTCAAATCCATAATCTTGCACCATCCCTTGGTTGAAATGAAAAGCAGAGGAAAACATTGACCCTGTGATGAAAGAACTACCTAGATATTTATTTGATGTGAACATTCTAAGAACTAGGAAGTCTTGTCCCTGAGGATTTGCTTTACTTGAAGACATTGACAACTAGTTTAGACGAGCATTTCTTTCAGTTTTGGTATATTTATCTGTATTGTAAACTTCGCCTCTTGTCTAAAAATGTCGGTTTACCACCATATGTTGGAATAGGTGTGCTGAGGGTATCTAGTTGCTAGCCATGGTTCAACTTTGTACCAATTTTGTTTGTTATCAAAATCATAACTATTTCTCAAGTTCTTTCTGCCTTGTTACAGACTGTGAACAGCAGAGCATATGATGATCATCGGCGGACACCTGGCATGCAGCGGAGAGGGACTAGGGGTGGTAGTGAAAACTATTACTCTTCTTCTATTTCTGATGGTATACCTTCCATGTTGTCTACCGATAAGAAACTTCTGATTGTTTCCCTTTAATCTGCCCTTGAGTTTCAAAACTTTTTTTTTTTTTCTTTCTTCGCGTTATGATTTCTCGCTTTTGGATTATTTAACTTATTTTAACGGAAAATTTGGTAAAATATAATGCACTTGTCTGTCTTGATGCAGTTCGTCATTGAAGTTTGAAGTACAGTATTAAATACCCTTTGCTCTCTATGAGGTTATACACTGGATTTGGAAGGCCTTAATTTTTTTAGTTCGTTAATTCTGGCTAGTAGACTACCTTGTGCTGTTTCCAAAAATTATATTTATACAAATGTATACTTATTTTCTATTGCTTATGATAAAATTGCCCAATCAGATTCTTTTGCATGTTTCTGGAAATAAATGCAGCTTCACTTATGTTTTCAACAATTACACTTAAGAATCAGGTTAACCTTTTATCTTTTGAAGCCTCATAAAAGTCTTCTATCTTTTCTCCCTTTAAATATCTTCCTCGCCTTATTTGCGTCTTTTAAAAGATATGTAAGTTTTCACCATGTAATACCATTTATCAAATTTACCATTTCCCCCTTCCAATTTTCTGACTCTATGCTGTTTTAAACCTCCTGTAATGAGGTGGTCTCACATCTCTCAATATTTTGACCATTTCCTCAGTAGTTGGAGGTGGAAAGCAAGTGAACGCTGGTCAGGAAAATGGTTACAATAGGCGTACAGAGAGAGCTTCTAAGTCTTATGTTCCAGGTCCTCATAAAACAGAAAACAATGAATCATGTTTTGTCATGAAGTAATAATTTCAATAGCCACTATTTCTTTTTCCATTTTTATGCTATTTTAGAATTTTCATCATCTACTTCTGAACTTACCATTTCCACTGGAATGATTTTCAGTTCTTCCACGTCTTCTGCCAATAATTCAGCAAGTGTATTTAATGGAAGCCTTAGTGAGAAATCCACTTCTCAATTATCCTTGTGTAATATTGGAGGTACTATCAAAGATACTTCAACTTCTGAAAATAGTAAGTTGGGGAAAATGCCATTTCTACAAAGTGTTGCAGTGAAGCAAATCCCAAATCTATATCCTGGCCCCACTCCCAGCCCTACACCCACTAGGGCTTCCACTGCTGTAACAGGCACTATGTTTGAAGGTGGAAAGTCCAAATTAATATCTAGTCATCTTGGAAATAGCATGGGTTCAACATCTGTCTCAGGCTTGTATTCATCTGCATCTGATCCCTTGCTAGTGCCATCTATAAATCCCCAATATTCAGGGGGAATTGGTATAACTAAGCCTGAAACAGGGAAGCAGCAGATTGCAGCTCAAGTTAGTACCAACCCTCCAGCGGACAATAGAATTAGAGATGGTCAAATAGTAACTAAAGCTCTTGCAGTCTCAGGATCTGTTGACTCCACAAGCAACAAACAGCCAAGACTATCCGGAGGAGTTGACAGGAGTCAGCTGGCGGAGCCTCCCCTGATGGCATCTTCAACCAATCACAATGTTACTCCTGCTTGCAGAACTAATCAGAAAACTCCTCCGTTGCAAGGAATCAATGATCCTTCAAAAGGTATTATTTTGTAGTCATATCTCGATCCATGTTTTCCAACATTCACTCGATGTTCATGCTAGCAAAGTTTCAAGATAATTTGTTCTCCAATTTCATTGAATAAGCTATAGTTTTGACTCTGTTATTTACAGCATAAGATGCCAACAGTATTCTCGTACCCATGCTTAATTATTGATGAAAATTATGAAACCTGGAAGCACATTATCTTCAGAGTATGATATCAATTTAGAGATGCTAGTTGCATGGTGTCTTGAGTTTTCCATCATTTGTTGGAGATGTTTTCCATTTTCTTCCTTTAATTATTTTCGCCAATTATTTTTCTATTAATTCCACGTGTAGCCAAGTTTTATCTTGTTTTGCAATATGTGGCACTATCTTTTATACTTTCATCAGTCATCTTCTTTGTGATTCCAGTGAACTACCGGAAGCAAATGTTTTTTAAAGTTTATGCATTATAATTGTTTTATTGGTTGATGGAGGCCTACGAGATTGTTTAGATAACAATAGGACATGAATAGATGCAATAACATTTTTGCCTTCATTTTTACTGGTTTATTATTTCAAATCATATATTCACTGTCATTCTTTTTGAAACTCCTCTTGGATTAGAAGCTAATTTTCCATCTCTTTCCTAAATTAGATGACTCTGCTTCAAAACAAGCCATCTCAGAAGTTGATACTAAGCTACCCAAGTTACATATCTCTGCTCGCCAATCTGTTATTTTTCCCAATCATATTCATGTACCTGAAGCTTTCTTGAATGGTTTGACTTTTGGAAGTTTGAATGTTCCTATGGGACAGAGCAACATGGAGTCGAAGCTTGTGGATGTATCTTTTGCAACTAATGTTGAAGCTGTTAAGGAATTTTCTGTGATGTAAGTAACCAACCAAGGTGTTTGCCCTCTGTTCAACTACTACTGCATTATGTTACTTGTGCTTCTTCGCCTTAATATATGTTAAAAGGCATCTTTCTATCCTAACTTTAAATTAGTAATCAGATGTTCTCTCTTCTTTGTTAAATCTCTCGAGTTTCTGGTTCATTTCTATAAATGGTGGCATTTCTCATTTGGTTTACTCGTACCTTAATAATTTCTCTAGTGAGTTAAGTTCTCGCCGATACTTTGTGCTTATCATAGGCAGCATTTTAGGTTCATGGCAGTTCATTACTCTTCTATGTTCTAAAATTAAACACTGACATAATACAACCACTGAGTGCAGTGATCAACCTGCATCCTCAACAGCTGGACAAGATGATTATCCTGATTGCCCCCCGTCTCATCCCCATATATCTGATAATTTTTTACCATCACAAGAGAATGTTTCTACTGGTGCCGCTCTGAGATATGATCAAGCAAAGCAGGAGCTGCTCCAATCAGTAGGAGGATCTCAGAACCCATTTATTTCTACTGTGACAGACTATAGTCTCAGTCTTGTACATCCGGTTATAGGATCCCGTCTGGTGCAAGCCGAAGGTCTTGAGCTGCAGGCATGTTATCCTTTTCTGTTTCTTATTCAAGATAATGTCTTTAAATTTTGCGTCATATGAGTTTATGTTTTTTGTTAGCCATATTAATGCTTGATATGAACTGTATTTTGGGTTTATCAAATTTCAATGTTCTAGTTGACTTTCTGAATTTGGGCTAGTTAAAAGTTGTGAGGAGCATGAACAAATAACATTCTTGACATTGCCTTATCGTGTTGGATGTTTTTGCTTTCCCTTCTCTGTTGGTCTTTTATCCTCCACACAGGTGTCCCCCACGGAATATTTTGTGGAATGCTAAAAGTATGCATTTTACATTCACCCATTGAAGTCATATTCATTTTAAATTTTATTATTTAATTCTAACCCACATTCTTCTAATGTCCAATTTCAGGGAGGAAAGTCTCAGGTTCCATCAACAACAGGTTCGGATCCATTGATGACTCAACCAGCCGGAATCGGGAAGAATTCTATTCCTGTATCACCCCAGATGTTTCCTTACCTTCGACATCCATATCCTCCTAACTGCATACCATACAACCCTTACTTTTCACAGCTATATATGACACCACCAAATGCTCACCAATTCTTAGGCAACAGTGGGTTCCCACAGCAACCTTCAACTGGCAACATTTACATGCCACCAACTGCTACTGCCGCGGGAGTAAAATTCCCCGTTCCTTCATTGTGCAAACCAGGGACTGTTGTTGGAAATCTGACACACTACGGAATTCCTTCTGGTTATGGTTCTTATGGGGCCTCCGGGGTTAGTTATAGTCCCAGTGCGGCTTTGGCACCTGGTAATTCTGCTAACAACAATGATATTTTGGGATCTGAGCTGAAAGAAAAGACAATCTACTCTACTATTAAACAGGTCTGTAATCAAATATGTTTCTAGTTTTAGGGTTATCAATAGACCACTATCATTTGCCATCATAAATTTTCAGAGAACCTAACCTATGATCACGTAATATAACCACCTGGACAACTCCAATTTGTTTTTTGCAGAATGATGATTTCCATGCATGGACTTCTGCACCAGGCCGAGACGTGTCAACTTTGCAGGCCAATGTTTTTTACAACCTTCCTCTGGGACAAGGACAACATTCCATCTTTCCTTCACAGGTTGGCCATGGGACCTTTCCTGGAATCTATCAGCCAACACAAAATCTATCAACACTTAAGTCACTTCCACAGCAGTCTCAGGCAGTGGCTGGACCATTGGGTGCTTACCTCGCAACCACAATTGCAACCTCAGCAGCCACTGCAACATGCACAGATGAATTGGAAAAACCTAAATTAGTGAATTGAGAAATCCGTCACATGCGACTTCTCGGTGGGACTAAAATGATATTCAAAGCATGGGTCTAATCAAGTGTAAATGTAGCGCGTCCATGAAATACACCAAACAATTTTTATGGGTGAGAAGTGCTTTGAATATATTTGTCCTGGTATGAAAGATTTTTCAGTAGAGCTTCTTTTGCTGAAAAATCAGTTTTTTTGGCAACATCATAACTAGTCGATTTCCTTTCTTTAATTTGTTAGAGGATTAGGATCTCAGGGTATTATCAATATTTTTCGGCTACATCTACCATAATGTTAGTGAATTTTGATGGCAAATGATAAATTATAATCTGCACGAGATTTTTGGCATTCCTATTTCTTTTTAAATGTAAATTCTTTTTTTTTTTTTTTTTTTTCTTTAGCACCTATCACCAGTGAAATTTATCTTGGAATCAATCAAACGTGGTAGAGAAGTAATCAGAGACCAATGTTTGGCTAAGGTTAAAACGTTCACTTGTAAGTAAATTAGTAAGTTTATTTTAAATAATTTTTGTACAAGTCAAGATCAAACGACGTAAGTAAAAATTGTTTTCAAAATAATAATTATTTTTAACAAAATGAGCGTCCAAACGTGGGTAGAAGTTATTTCTTGTAAATTATACTAGCGAGTCCCACTCCATGCCGACATTTAGTAGGTCCCACTTAATTGCATAAATGAATTCTCTCGGAAATGATTGTGCCCTGACAGGAACGAGTCAGTTAAAATTGAGAAGACATCATTATATGACAGAATAAATTCCATCGATCCATTCTTGTAATTTATCTCAATATTCACTTCATAAATCCAAAATCTCAGGTCCCAGCTCATGAACTATTTTGTTTATTGTTATTTTGGGTTCCATTTATTTGAATAGTGTAAACAAGAAAGAGAAGTGAATTTTTGTCTTTCTTTCTTGTTTAATGTCAAGAAAATTTTAAATGGAGTTAGGGCCCTTTAATTCTGATTCAAAATCAGAACCAGACAGTTCATCACTGCCATGGCAAGACATGTTCCGATCTGCATCCAGTAGGAAACCGGAAACTAACGACGCGCCTCCTCCAAAACCCCACGCGCCACCACCACAAGATGGAGCCAATTCTCTCTCCTATGATCCTCAGGTACGTCTTGCCCTCTACATAGCCATGGCCCACGCAGGCCTTGCCTTTACAGTATTTGTTCTCTATGGAGTCTGCAAACTTCTTGAGGATTTTTTGAGGCCAATTTTATGGGCTGTGATCTGTTCAATCCCATTAAGAGGCATTCAACAGACCCTCGTTGGATTTTGGTCCAAGCCACTAAGGTTAGGGCTCACAGAGACCACATTGGCTGTCCCTGTGGCTATATTCAGAATCTTTGTTGGGACTCTTGTAGAGATTAAAGAAATGATGCTTCGGATTGTTCTTAGAAAGAAGAAATCCAATATTACGAGGAGGGAAAAGAGTGGGTTTTACAAGTTGTTGAGGTGGCTTGTATCCTTTTGGGTATTTGTGATGGTTTATGAACATATTGGTAGTTTTGGATCTATTTCACTTCTTGCATTAGGGTTCATGTTTACAGCTGCTGGGGTGGAGTCAACAATGAGTACAGTTACGTCGTTGAGGAGTCAAAGCTTTCGCCGGCTCCGGGTGAGTGCATTTTTCACTAGAGGAATATTGAAAAGACTGAAGACTATAGTTGCTATAGGGTTGATTGTAGGAATTAGTGTGGGATCCTTGGCTGGCATGATTTTCTTTGCGTACAAAATTGGCGTGGAAGGAAAAGATGCCGTGTATGCGCTTAAATCTCATGTCGAAGAGAGTAATTATGCTGAGAAGATAGGATTTAGGAAATGGATGAATGAAAATGATGTGCCTGGAATGGTGGATACGTACTCGACTAAATTTTATGAAACTGTATCTGATCAGATTGATAGTTTAGCGATGCAATACAACATGACTGAGTTTGTTACGGGGATCAAACATTTTATGATAACCACCCCATCATCAAACTCCTCAGGTAAGTCTACGGCGCTGATGAACCCTTCTCTGTACACTCAGAAATTTTTAACCTTGAAAAGGAGGGTCAGGGAGCGCGAGTGGGGGCAAATATACACAGAAGTGGATGGAATTTTCAGAGAGCTTCTGATTACTAGAGAGGATTTGGTTGAGAAGGCTAAAGGGTTTGCCATTCAAGGAATGAATGTGATGCAGGGTGTATTAGTTAGCAGTACATCTGTTCTTGCTGGCAGTGCAAAGCTCATGTTCTTGATCATGAATTCCATTGTCTCTGGAGCTGCCGAATTATTCAATTTTCTTTCACAGACGATGGTTTTCTTTTGGGTTTTGTATTATCTAATCACGTCAGATTCTGGTGGTGTTACAGAACAGGTGATGTGTATGCTGCCCATGTCACAGTCTGCAAGGACTCGATGTGTTGAGGTTCTCGACAAAGCTATTTCCGGTGTTCTTTTAGCAAATGTCGAGATTGCTTTCGTTCATGGATGTCTGACCTGGCTGCTATTTAGACTATTCTCAATACACTTCTTGTTCATGTCGACTGTTCTTGCATTTATTAGCTCTGTTTTGCCATTATTTCCTCCTTGGATTTCAACAATTCCAGCTGCTCTGCAACTGGTTTTGGAAGGGAGATATATATTGGCCATCTTCTTATTTGTTATTCATCTGGTGCTTTTGGATTATGGAACTACTGAAATTCAAGAGGATATTCCTGGCTACAGCGCTTATCTTACTGGTCTCAGCATCATTGGTGGCATGACATTGTTCCCGTCTGCATTGGAGGTAAGTACGAAGTTATCCTGACAGTTGACCTTATTATTCTGCCTGTCACTTATTTCTCTATTATGTCTAAAGACATTTTATGTTTTAATATTCCGTCTTTGTTTGTACAGAATTTCTTAGAAAAAATGCTAGGGTCTTTTAGACTGCAATTACCTGCACATTTTCACTTGATTTTTTATCTAACAAGGTCCATGAAAAAATGTAAATACTTCACTAGCTAGCCTTCATTGCAAAAAGGTCTATCAACTTTTTAGCTGAAAAAGCATTATATTCTTTATCTTGATATGTTAAACAGCAAAAAGTTCAGAAAGCCTTTTCACATTGTTTCTCTATTAGTCCATAATAGTTGCGAAACTGCCTGCATGTGCACAAAATTTATTTCCGAGGTGAAATTAGAAGCCTTCTTAGCGCAGCAGCGTTTTCTTCCCTACCAAAGCCTATTTCCACAGCTAAGAGAAGATACTTGAAGAACTAGTTTTACCTTTTAAAAAAGCTTGTTTGATAGGGAGCACCGGAAAGTATTGAGGAAGAAAACAAGTCAAAATCTCGTTTATTATACCGTCTAGTTCTAACATGCACTAGACATGTAAATGGGTCCAATAGATAACAATTGACACATAATGTTGGTATTTCATAGATTTATAACCTCGACCACTTTCTTATTTCGCAATTTTGCATCATCCATTGTTAATAAACTTATATGGTTGAATTGAAAATTTGGTTTCAATGTGGGTTGTCACTGGGCAGGGAGCAATAATGGGGCCACTGATAACTACTGTTGTAATAGCTCTCAAGGATTTGTACGTAGAGTTTGTGTTGGGACAACCAAAGGAGAAAAGTAATTAGGATGATATTGTTCTGAAAACTTTAAGGAGGAGATTTGATCCCGCGCTTGAGCTGATTTGTTTGAAGATTGCTGCTGTAATCATCTCGGTTTTCCGTTTTTTCAGCATGGCTTGTTCCAGTGAAATTTTGTGTTCGTGTCGTGTCCCTTTCATCCCTCTGTGTAAGTATTCGTTCGGTTTTTTTATAGAGAAGTGTAGGAGGATTGTGCATTAATGGCTGTAAAGAAAAAGAGAGAAGTTGTTTAATTCCATTGTTACATTATCAAATCAAACTTGCAGCTGCAAATTATGAAATTATTTAAATTTATGTTTACACAGATGGCCAATTATGGTTTAAGATTCGTCTGAACTTTTGTATGCAAGCAATCATATGCGATAATGTTCATGTTCGGTCCAGCACCCAAGTATCAAATGAAAAAATAAATAAATTGTGTGAATTAACCATAAGCAAATTGCAGAAGTTACCGGTTGAACGCTTTCTATAAACGAAAGCGATGAATCATGTATAGAATAAAGTTAGAAATCAAAGTAGATAAAGATTTGTAGAGGAAAACTACGGGTAGAACTGTCTTATATGTCAAGTCCATTTAGCTCCTGTGTTTGATGACCGTTATTTTGAAAAAATAGAGTTTTAAATATTAATTTTTTGAATAACGTGTGGTTAAAAAGTAAGAAAATATTTTGAGTTTACGTACAAAATGTTTTAAATCCTGTTTGATGGCTATTATTGAGAGATAAATGATGTTTTAAATTGTGATTTTTGGAGAATGTGTTGTCAAAAAGTTGAGATTTACGTGCGAAATATTTTATTGTTTGAATGTATAGTTGAAAATGAGTATGAAAATTAAAAACTTTTGTTTTAAAGAGAGACAAACAAGAACTTATTGTGTATGCGCGCTGAAAATGAGTATAAGAATTAAAGATTTTTGTTTTAAAAGGAAACATACTGGGCATAATTGATTACATATGTTCTTGTTTTTATTTTTTTATTTTATTACTTTTTCAACTCATCAACTTAAATGATGACGTTTTTCTATAATAAATGAATTAACTCCAAATAAATCTCTAAAGTAAAATGATAATTATAATTATAGTTTTATCACTAGTTAGAGAAAAAGAAAAGAAAAGAAAAAATAATAGTGGCACATGCAAACCTTAATAAATCTAATATTATAAAAATTATTCTCGTGATTTTGGTTTGAGAAATGCTATGTAGCTCCACTAGAAGTATAACCTTAGTATATGTACAATTAAATGAGTAATTTAATTTCACCTTTACTTAACCTATGACCTAAAGCCACATAAATTGAGATTTTAACACTGATGACACTAAATAATATTATTCTTTTGATTTTGTTGACTAGTAAGAACAAAAGGAGCTATTTTAGCAGAATTAGTCCCCCGTTTGTCTCCATTTAAAACAAAATTCTTTAATTTTCATACTCATTTTCAGATACAAATTGTCACAATAAAATATTTTGTACGTAAACCTAATTTTATATTTTTTTTAACCACACATTCTCTAAAAAATCATTACTCAAAACATAATTTATTTATTTTTTCAATAATAGCATTAAACAATACTTAGAGGGTATTTGACACCCATTTTTAAGGAAGAATAAATTTTAGAATATTAGATTGATGGAGAATGTGTGGATGAAAAGTTTTTTTTTATTTACGTGTAATATTATTTTAATAAAAAATGTTTAATTGAAATGAAGAGAGAAAAATGGGAATTAAACGGGCTTTAATAAGTTGTTTTATCTAGGCCCGGACATGATTTAATAAGGATGGCAGTGCATCGGGTTTGGGGCAGGGAGCCCAAACCTCGCCCTGCCTTTGCTTAGTGCTCGGTCCTTTAACTCAGATGCTCGGCTCCGGCTCGTGGAAAACGAGCCGAGCTCGAGCTCGAGCTCGGCTCTTTGTTCGGGGTGGAGCTCATGAGCTTACGAGTCACAAGCTCGCGGGCCAAGCTGAGCCAAGCCCACGAGCCGCTCGTGAGCTCGTGATTTTTTTTAATTTTTTTGTAAATTTGCACATTTTGAACTTTTTTTTAAAAAAATTTCATATTTTCTGATGAGCCCACGAGCGGAGCCGAGCAGGCTCAGCTCCGGCTCGTCAGTCAACGAGCCGCTCGACCCGTTTGACATCGCTACCTTTGCTGCCCCCTCCTTTTTTTTTTTTTAACATTTTAAAAATTTCAAGTTATGCTACTATTAGAAAATAAAATACAAATTCAAAATGAGTTTTTAGTGGGTGAATTTTTCAAAAATAAAATTATTTTTAATTTTTTTCTCTTCACAGAGCGGTGAGTTACGCTTCGTCGGTACGAATTTTTTTTGCCTCATTTAGAGCAGGGTGGATTTTTTTGCCATCATTATGATCCAATTTAAAAATATACAAATAACAAGTTCTTTAGAAAGATCAATTCACCAATGTATACAAATTAAAAAAATAATAATAATAATAATAATAACACTGAACTATCGGTAATTCCATTCCATTTATTCCTTAGCTTTCAAACCTTCAAATCTATATATATATATATATATATATATATTGATATATTGGAAGTTATTGAAATAAAAAAATGTAAGTATTGCTAGTATTTACCAGTTAATCACTTAATTAGTTAATAGGCAAATTTAGAAAAGAAAAATTAAAATAATTCGCTGAATTTACTAGACCACTCAATTCGGGTCCAGTCCCATTCAATTCGATTCGAAAATTTTGCCCAACTTAAATTTTAACTTTATTGAAGATTTGATTATATTCATGTCATATCATTCTATAAATATATAATATCTTATTTATATTAAGTCCTTGTTTGAGTCTCATTTTTTCAAAATTCATTTTCAACTACACATTTTTCAATAAAATAATATTATACGCAAGCCTAAAACTTTTCCTTAATTTTTAATCACACATTCTCCAACAATCTACTATTCAAAATGTATTCTTTCCCTCAAAATGGGGTTCAAATAAGAACTAAAGATTTTAATTTTATTCATTGGTATATTTATATTCTTAACATTTTTTTTATCGTACTCTTATTTTTTAATCGTGAGTATATTGATTTGATGTTGTTTATATGACTACTTGGATTATTACTTGAGGAATTAACCCTTTTGTCTCACTTGAAGCTTGAATACTGACATTACAATCTTTATTTATGTCTCCTAGTTTCTATATAATCTTGTGTTATGTCGGGAGCAGTCTTCTGATCCTAAGGCAGGTGATAGAACTACACAACAACTTGTGGTGTTAGGAAACTTTAATAGTGTTCAATTATGGTTAATGCCCGACAACTTTCTATTATGGTCATTCATTCGTATCGTACGAGGCACACATGAGCTTGTTATCTTGATATATATTATTGAGCGCTCGGAATAAAAATAGAAGTAGCAAGGGTCGACACTTGTGCTTATTCATTTTTGTAAGATACTAGAGTCTCTGATTGGTAAGGATTAAAATTTAAATTTTAATCCAAATCAAAGTCAAAGTCAACAATGAATTTTAATTACACATTTCATGGGATTCACAACTTTCGACTATACATTTTATTAACTTTTATCGAAACTTACTAATAATCTGCTTTTGATATCTATGAAACGGGGCTATATATTATTCAGTGGATTTGGTTATTTCCTATATATATATATATAGTAATTTTAAATTTAGAGACTAAAATTTTTTACGCTCTAAAAATACTATTTATTTTGACTTTTCATTTTTCTTCTGTCGAAAATATGCCCCCGTTTGGTAGGGATTTTTTGCCCCAAAAAATTGATTTTTTGACCGTTATTTTACTATTCAAGCCGTAATTTTTGACTTCTTCTCTCATATGTGGACCTCACTTTTCTTCTAACGGTCAAAAAATCAATTCTCAAAATCCCTACCAAACGGGCCCTATATTTATTCATCCCTTGACTAATGGCCAATGGGCTTCATCGGGCATGGGAAAGGGTCCATGTGGGCCAACAGGGAAGGTTCATGGACCTCAGATTGCTGACCCAACAAAATCTAGTTAACATAATTGGACTGCACTGTTCTTGTATAGATATAGAAAAGATAAATTCACATAAACAGCACTGAGTGAAGGAAAGAAATATTTATTGGCAGACCAAAGTACCATTTGACACCAATCAATAATATAGCTCCAGTTGTTTTTTCATTATTTCTCCATTAAAATGAAAAATATGATCGTTATCTATCACATCAAATCATTAAATTTGAATTTTTATATTTTATATGGGACCCATAACGACTATATTTTTCATTCACATTCTTATAAAAATAAGAAACAAACGAGGCCATAGACATCAGTTAATATTTAAAACATAAAAAATAAAATAAAAATTGAAAACTCCATAAGAAACAAAATAGATGCACATCAAAGGTGCCAAAATCAACCATTTATAAGGTATCAAAAAACAATGGAAATAAAAGATTAACCCATCCATATATAAGACTTTCAAATTACTCAAACTTTATTTTTAACCACAAATTTTATCCAATCTTTAATGCCACATTTCATGGGACCCATTAGTTTATAATCTCAATATAATTTTATTTTTAATTATCAAAGTAGGGTCAAAAATTTACCAAGAGTTGAGATTCTAGTTAAATATTAGCAACAAAATATGTATTAGAGGTTGAAATTCTCAACCTAATCAAGAAAACTGAAAAAGGAATTGTTGTTCCCGTACTTAAAATCTATTCATAAAATAGAAGGAAAAAAAAACCATTTACACCATGGTGTACAGTCTCCTCATGTAGATAAAATATTTGTGGGCCCCCTCATTGTGAGGAAGATGTAAAGGTGTATAGCTTTTAAAGTTGTATATCAAGCAAAGTTACTATAAATAAGAAAACCCGAATTTATTGGATAGGTAAGTAGAAGTGCAACGTGCATATTAACTTGTGTACTCAAAGTTCATAGTTTTTTTCCCATGTAATGCAAATAAGATACTTCCCTAGAAGTAGGCCCAAAGATGACATGTAGCGTGCCTATAAGGATTTTTAACTGTTTTAATGAAAACAAGTTTTACGATCGTTTGGACACTTAGTAAGTTAAAATAATTTGGCTGCAGTTGGTTTGGCATTTTCGGACCGTTTTCAGTTTTCCGTTTTCGAAAACGCAGAAAAACGCGTTTGGTCCATCGTTTTCGAAAATGCGTTTTGGAAAACAAGTTAAAATTTATAACTGAAAATGCAAAACGACTTTTTATCTTTTTGAGCGTTTTCAGTTATAAATTTTCAAAACGCGAAAAACGTCCAAAACGCACCGTTTTCGAGGAAGACTAAAAATCGTTTTGAAACCGAAAACGGAAAATGGAAAACTAAACTGCAACCTTAGGCCGTGGTTGGTTTGCCATTTTCGACTTATTTTCCATTTTCCGTTTTCGAAAACGGGTTTAATCCGTCGTTTTTGAAAATGCATTTTCGAAAACGAGTTAAAATTTATAACTGAAAATACAAAACGACTTTTTATCGTTTTCAGCATTTTCAGTTACAAATGTCAAAAATGTTCAAAAGGCGGAAAACGGGCCGTTTTCGGGGAAAACTAAAAATCGTTTTGAAAATGAAAATGGAAAATGAAAATGTAAACCAACCACTACCTTATTATTTTGAAAACAACTTTTATTACATTGTTTGATCTTGATTTATATGAAAATTATTTTTAAAAAACTTATTTACTTATAAGTAAACCGTTTGACCTTGGCCAAACACGATCCCGGTGACTACTTCTCTACCACGTGATTAATCTATGTTATGTTCAAATCCAAGTGGCTGAAAATAACATCGTATAAAATTTTGTATAGACACTATTCCTTTCATTTTTATTACACGTGGCAGTGGGTTCTACTGAAATACAATACGAGGCTAACTCGAGGGTGGGTCCACGGATTTGTTGGCCAACCATTCTGGACCCGCCAGAATTCGAAATCTTTTTCAATATTTCTTTCCAAATAAATGTTATAATATTATTTCTTAATTTAAATTATAGCATGATTAACTCAACAATAACGTTACAAAAATAATAATATCTTTGATTTAGTTCCATATTAACAAGGATGATGCTTGATTTGTTGAAAGTTATACTCTAGTCTCTCAAATTTTAGATGAGATGATACGAAATCTTGATTTTAAATATTTTTACACCTTAAATTATGAAAAGTTACACAAATGGGAATTTGGCAAGTACTTGAGAGTCACGTTGAAAATGAATTTATATAAATAAATGTATCCGTCCCCTGTTCGACAAGGCGAGTCGACATGTTTGAGGAAGCAGCAAGAGGCAACAGAGCTTTCAGCTTTGCTTACTGAATAATTAAAGCCCCCCCGCCCTGTGAAAGTTAGGCCAACGGTTATGGTTATATCTTCCAATTCACTTGGATTAAAAGCAAAACTCTGAGATTTTTGGTCACCATCTCATCTGCTTTACTGCTTTTGTTAGTTGTACCTTTCACCCTTCTTCTTTTGCTTCATAATCTTTTCATTCGCAACTCGAATCCATTCATTTCCTTGCACTCTTTGTGTCCCTTTGAATCTTAAATTAAGAATCCAGGATTAACGTCGATGAGTATTAGGTATTTCTTGATGACACCAGATCAGTTATGCAACTCTAGCAGTGTAGCCTCTTTTTCACCAGTTTTGCCACGGGAGGCTGTAGAAAACAGAGATATATCAGCAAATAATTTGAGAAATAGGGCTGCCCCTTTTGCTGATTTCTTGATAAGATTAGCCATGAGAATATCAAGATCAAGGTGTTACAGTTTCTTGAGAAGAGTTTTTCATTACCAAAATGGATCAAGATTGGATCTCAGTTCGAATCCATTCAATTCTCGGACTTGGATGTTGATAGAATTTCTTGCTTTAACTTTTCAAATTACTCTCATTACATATACTCTGAGCATCTCCAAAGATGAGAAGCCGGTTTGGCCCATGAGATTATGGGTTTCCGGGTATGCTTTTGGGTGTTTTCTTAGCCTTATTCTCCTCAACTGGCGCTATCTCTTCTTCTACGTAACTCAAAGAAACAACGATCCCAGTTTTTCTGATATTGAACAGCAAAGAAATGTTCAAGAATCAAGGTAAAGTAACAACTTTTTAATGTAAATTTGTTTGTAAACATAGTATCATTACTGATATGAGGTTACCATAATTAGAAGTTTGCAGAACATGGATAAATGCAGGACATGGCTTGAGCTTTTATTTGCAATATGGTTTGTGATGGGGAATGTATGGGTGTTCGACTCCCGGTTCGGGCTGTTTCGACAAGCTCCTAAACTTAATGTCCTCTGCATTTCCCTGCTTTCTTGGAATGCTTTCAGCTATTCATTTCCATTCTTACTTTTTGTATTACTTTGCTGCTGTGTGCCCATGCTCAGCAGCTTCCTAGGTTATAACATGAACATGGCATCCCATGATAGAGGGGCAACTGATGAACAACTTGCCAAATTACCAGCCTGGAAATATAAGGATATTGGCAACAGTTTCGATCTTGGGAATTCGACAAAAGACGATGAAAATACAGTACGTTACCTTACTTGGTTATCGAAATAGTATTTCATCAGAAAAAATGTGGATAAATCAATCTCTTGTACATGTTTGGTATGTAATATTGTACATTAGGCTCGATAGTTTGTTTCTTAATGTTGTCATGTCGGTGTTTGATAAAGTTGTCAATAACTATCCTATCTTTTCATAGAAGGTTAAAAATTTCATATTTTCGAAAATCTCTCTTTCTATAAAACTAGACGTGTCAGTAATGAACTAATTTTTTTTTTTTAATATGCGAGATTTTAGCAACTTGGAAAAAAAAAAACACAGAGGTTTTAGCGTTTAAACCAATTGATTATTTGGTAAGGAATAAGGAGCTAATGATTTTTCTATGTTTTAACAGGAATGCTGCATCTGTTTGGCCAAGTACAGAGTCAAGGATGAGATTAGGCAGTTGCCATGTACTCATATATTTCATTTAAAGTGTGTGGATCAATGGCTCAAGATTATCTCTTGCTGTCCTCTTTGTAAACATGGACTAGAGAAATAACCCACAACGAAAAAACGAAAAATAGCAACAAAAATCTGTTCTTGAAGATATATATTTACCATCGTATGAATTTCACATGGTTTCTAGGCGAGTGAATTTCTTGTACATCGTAGCTCACCTTGTACCCAAAATTTATTTGCGACGGTCTCAAGGCAAGAGAGAAATATGTTTATGTAAATAAAAGGGTTCTACTTGAGAAGAAAAAAGTTCTTATTTTTTTTATTTTTTCACAATAAGAAATTCATCATGCCTATCCTGTATGTTTTTTCCTTCTCCAGAAGTTGATATGTGCTTAATGGAAAGGAACATATTGTGACTTCTACTTGGTAGATCTATTCTGCACCTCAAATACCTTTCGTATATTGCATGACTTCCGACTCTCTAGCTCGACCTTCTGATAGTTCAATCAGGGTATTCTAACTCGATAACGCAAATTGGTGTACCTTGTAACGACGTGAGCTTAGTAAAACTCCCAAGTGTTCAGTTCAGTGTTGGATCTCTAGCTCGGATTTTAACTCGGTCGTGTGTGTTCAGTATCTCGGGATAACTTGCTTTGTCACACAGTTAAGAGTTTCCATAATGGACTTTATACAACTTAAAAGGGGATTAGAATGCAAGTTTGGAAAGTGATCATAATTTGAGTACTACGTAACATGAAAAATAGCATTAGCATCCACATTTCTTCAGAATTGGGGATAAAAAGTATTTTTGACCAAAAGTAATTATAAAAAAAATTCACTTTGCAAACATGATATTTTACTAGAAGACTACCAGGACAGAGATGAATGATTAGAAACTTCAATATATTGGAAGCTAAAATCAATTACATTATAGCAAAACTAGAAATTGATTTGGACAGAGGTCCAGCCTAATCTGCTGGCCTAATCCAGGTTGTTTCCGACGTCAATGTGTTTCCATAATAGACCTGCTTCGAAGAGTCATCCCAGTAAACCTGAATACAGGGAAAATGGAAGGGCAGAAAGGGCAAGAAAGCAATGTGAATATAATGGACGTACAAAAGATGATATATAATACACATCACGTGCACATTTTGAGATTTTTCTGAAAAAATTCTGCCAATAGCTCATTGTTCCCTGAGGAAACAAGGGGTACCTGCCATCCAGCTGGAAGACCTCCTGAAAGTGAAGCTAAATCAGGTTGCTGATTCCCTTCCGTTGCAACATCTGATTCACTCTTTTCAGTCTCATTCATCTTTTGGGATCTCCTGCGTTTCACTCGTTCTCGCCTGTCATAAAGAAACGTCAAATAAAACGACATGAATAGGTCAGCGATGAAAAAGTTGTCAGGACCAGGTATCTAACAATTTGAATCACTCAGTCTAAATACTAAGGCTGTGGTTGGGTTGGCATTTTCAAGCCATTTTCCGTTTTCCGTTTTCCGTTTTCCGTTTTCGAAAACACGGAAAACGCGTTTGGTCTGTCGTTTTCGAAAATGCATTTTCGAAAACGAGTTAAAATTTATAACTGAAAACGAAAAACGACTTTTTATCATTTTGAGCGTTTTCAGTTATAAATTCCCAAAACGCGGAAAAAACCCAAAACGCGCCGTTTTCGGGGAAAACTAAAAATCGTTTTGAAACCGAAAATGGAAAATGAAAAACTAAACCAACCGCAACCTAATATTTCCTAAACTTTCATATACTAGTGTGATATCCAGAAAGTCCAAAGAAACAGCGGTCGTTTTAACAATCATTCAAGGACTACAGAGCATATCAAAGAATCATTTTATTTGACCTTGTATAATTGGTTTAATGCTGCGGCTACTACTCGTATAAATGGGTTGCCCAACTTTATATGGTTTCTTTCTTGTATAAATTGATAATACACTTCCTGTGTATTGTCCGTGATTAATAAAATATTTGATTACTTAAAAAAAGAAAAGAAAAAAAAAGGATAATATCCAGAAGGTCCAGGCTCCATACCAATCACCCCCCAGTGGCTGAAAATTAGCATTATCTTTAGCCTCTCCACTGGCAATCTGCTGTGCTCGCCATTCCTGCAATTAAACTGAAGTTAAGGAAAAAGATGGAAAAGCATTACTCATCAGTACTGCAAACAGATGCTAATATTTACAAACCTCTATTTCACGCCGTCGTTTCTTCTCTAACATTTCATCGGCATTTTCAGGTTCTTCTTCCTCTTCATGCAACTCTTCTTTTGCAGCATTCCACTAAAGAAACAGAATAAAACATTCAATTTCAAAAGATAAAAATCATGAATCGTGTACAGATTCACACAATGGGTTTAAAGGATTACCTTGTCGACCAAGCTGGAAACCTTTTTATTAGATCTCAACGTGGATACCACAGCAGCAGTCTTTTTTTTAGTACGTGAAACTGAGAACAAGGTGGAAAACATATGTATAAGTTGTCTGCCTCAACAAAAACATTAGTGTTAAATGCAAACTTGCTTGAGTCCTCGTGTACATTGGTTTCAATAATTACCTTTAGATTGTACCTTAGAAGATGTTGCTCCAGCAATAGTAGCAGCAGTAACTGAAGAGGTTGATGAGACAGAGACACTTTTTGTATTTGAAGCAGTTGGTGGAGCTTCAATAGTGTGTTCAGAATCAGGAGCCACTGGCACCTTGACGGTTACCTGGTCAGCATCAAGAACATCAGCTTTTGTCTGTGATAACAAACTGGAACCCGTTTCTGCATGGGCATTGGAGGATCCAGCTGTTTCAGAGCCGAGGCTTTCGAGAATAGTTTCACTATGAGTCCCAGAAGACTCCACAGCTGTGCCACTAACCAACAAAGCAGGATGTACAGTTCCATTTTGAAGGCTGTAATACGAAGCAGGCTCAACAGGGTTGACTACTAAGGGAGCAGCACCATATACATTCGAGACACTGTCATAATACTGTGGTAGATGGGAGACAGCCACCTGACTTCCCTCGGGATTTGTATAGAGACTAGCACCAGCAAGTTCTGTGTTTGTTTGCCCATAGTAGTCGAGACTACTGCCAGGATATGATAGATTGTACTGTCCAGTGTATGTAAAAGGTTGTCCTAACTCTAAGTGAGATGGTGGGGGGACTGAGGTTTCAGGTGGCTCATCAGGTGGCAGGGGAGGAGGCTCGACGTCTGGTGGTGGGGGAGGAAAAGGTTCATCATCAGGTGGCGGGGGAGGAATCCAATCATCTTCAGGTGGAGGAGGTGGAACGCTAAATATTTGCCCTGGCACTGAATGTTCCTGGTCAGCCAGTAGATTATGCAAATTTGCTTGCTCTGATGGGAGGAGAGATTCCGCACCTAATGCATCTTGTATAGATGGATTTGCTGAAGCAACTGTATCTTCAACTTCCATGTCCACATCCATGTCTACTTCCTCCCCAGAATGGAGGACAGTTTTGGGAGTTAATTCACTATGAAGTGCAAATCCATTGATTTCACTTTTTCCTCCAGAATTATTACCTGAATGTGCAGTAAGATGCCCACTTGAGGCAACACTTCCAGCGGTAAAGGCACCATCACCATAAGATTTATAATATGAGTCGTGGGCAGCATATTCAGAATCTTGAGGAACTATGACAGGAAATAATGGCTTCTTTTCACTAGAAACAACTGCATCACCAATGCCTTCAAACGATTGATTTGTGCCCTCAACTTCATTTGTCAGGGAAGAATTATATAGCGTAGCAACATCATCTATAGCAGCTTCAAGTTGCTCTAGCTGACCTTTAGAGTGAAACCAAAAGGGCAGGAGTGATGTACCATGATTTGTTAATGCCTTGATATCAGAAAGCCTAATCTCAACTTCCAATACATATTTTGATATAAGATCACGCGCTTGTAGATGGCAGCTTACACTGTTTGAGAGAAGGATCCGCAATGTGAACAAAACTCATGGGAATAGCAAATAAATAAAAATGCAATAAAATTCATGAAATGCTTTATTATTATTATTATTATTTGAAAGGTAATCATATAATTTTATTAATCAAAGGATAATACATGGGAAGTGTATTGTCAATCTATCATGAAATGCTTTATACATAGTTTATAGCATAGAAAGAGTAAAAAGTAAAGATAATCATTATGGTGATAAAGACAGAAGAAGAATAGGTATGTCTATACCCTTTCGCAGAGTTCAATCGCTCCAACAATCTTTCACAGTGCTTCACCAGCTGAGAAGAAAGGTTGGCTCCAGTTTCACATTCCTCAGAAGGCATTCCATGATTTATTTTGGTACTTGAGGCGATCTCATTGCCCAAAAGATTATTGGCAAGCAATGAAGTTTCATTATTTTGATCAGCATCTTGGTTTCCTTTTTCTTCATCTACAGAATCACCATTACATCCTTCGTCATATCCATGCATTTTTGCCACTTGCTCACTAACATAACCTGTTTTGCAATTGGCGTCAGAGCCACAATTAAGTTGCCCGGTGGTGGAATCGCCATGTTCCATGTCCAAAGGTATACTTGATCCGGATGTGCCCTCTAAACCAATGCATTTTTCTACAGCATCAGCAGTAGCTTTCTCTAAACAACTCATATCAGTTATCTGGGCCAAATCATCAGGTACTTCCCATGAAGTTTCACCGGTTGTAATGTTCCAGTAATAATATTGATTACTCTCTTCATGCAACACGACCTTCCAGCCTGTACTCACATCTCCAACAACTTGCACATCAGACACTCCAGGATATGTGACTTCTTCGGCTGGATTTGTTCCTCTGTCCAAATCACTAGAATCACTTATTATCTCACTCCCTTTCCTGAGTTTCTGCAAAGGATTCTGAGTAGAATCATTATCTATCACAAGAACAGAAGGCTCATTCCCATCTTTGTTTCCAGTATCTCCAATTTCTTTCCCATCAGCAATTTTTGTCTGAGAAAAAGAAAGAACATAATCTTCTGAGAAAAAGAAAGAACATAAATCTAATGCAGCAAGAAAAAGTACATTACTAGACACCTGCTAATGGATCTCATAAGAGAAAACATGGCTGTCGCTAGATTTTGCAACCAATGAGACCACGTCTCAGAAAAGAAATTCATGAAAACTAAAAGCAGAAGAGTGATGATGAGCTAGGATGCAACCAATCTACAGAAAATGGAGTGACAGCAATGCAGAAAGCCTATAGAATCATGATCCGAGTAAAACAGCATTTGAGAAGATGAAATGAGACAGATTAAGAAAATCTAAGAAACAGAAGTCAACAGAAATACATATCAAGTTGTCCCGCTACACACAAAGAGCTGGATTCAACATTGTTTTTGTTCGCTGGCTCAAAAACACAACAGTTGCTATTTAAAACACATAACATTATTCCAGAAAAATTGGTAATACTTATGCAAATCACCTGGCCATCAGTGTCAACAGATGGGTCCTCAGAAACTGCTCGATTTCGTCCTTCATTTGATTCCTCATCCAATTCTTCATCACTATACTGCTCAAGAAGCAGTAGAGGATTACCTGGCTGTTGTCCTGCAAACAAATTCTAGACTATCAAATGCCAATGAAATCAACTTGTAACAACCAACATCTCTTTAACAAAAAATAAAAAACACGTGCAGTTTGGCGAGAAACTACAAAAAGCAGTCAAAAAGTAAAATAAGATAGTCAATTAATCAAATAATAATCAAGATTTATAGTATTCTGCATAACCCATTCTACCTGCAACAGAAATTGAAAACCATCAGTATGTTAAAAAGCAAAAACAAGTCAAGGACATACGAACCAATGGGCAAAAATTCCTTGTTGAGATCCCCAAACTTCCTTTGATGCCAACAAGAAGGGCATGATAGGTTGAAAGTTTACATAATAATTCACTGTGGCAGGGACTGACGTAATCTGATTACCAATTGATTGTCCCCAATATCATTGCCACCCTACAATCTGAAAACAAAATCTTTCGGGGTGCAAATAACATGTCTTGTGCAAAGAAAAGCAATAATTTCCACCAATATTTATGCGGTCACATCATGTCTTCTCTACAAAGAGCAGTCCTTTTTGAAGAAAACTGACGGAACCCACCTGAAGATGATGGTGAATTGGGTAACCCAGCATGATTTTCAGAGTCACCATTCTCTCCAACTTTATCCTCGGCAGAGGAGGCACCCGAATCTCCTAAGAGAGGACAAGAACAGCATACAATGTTCAGACCAAAATGGACATAATTATACAGATAGTGTGCAATTTTCTCACCGAAGGAGAAATATCACTGAAGATGGCAAATATCAGAAAATTGAAGTTTTACCCATCTTAGAACTTAGTGTGCAACATTCAGAAATTAACTCAATGGGAAATCATTGAACAATCCAATTATTAGCAGAATTAAAAAGATTATAAAGTATTAGTTTCCAGAGAAGTTCCACAAAAAACAGTTCCAACGTAATTCACAAGGTACTATCATTTAGTTTTAACTTCAATGAGCAGAATAAAAAGCGGGAAAATCGAAAGCCTGGAGTTCATAATACCAACTTGTTTGCCAATCAAAAATAACTTTATTATATTTAAACTGAATATATTTTCTTACGTGCTACAATATATACGTGCATAATCATATACAAATACTATTTAACCGATAATTACCAGAGGGTTCCGCGAACAGATCCAGTTTAACTCTACGACCAGCGGCACTCATGGCCGCGAGTCTACGCTCCTTCCTCCTCCCCATCGATTATTGATTTGATTTTCAGATATAGATAGGAAAAGATAGGTCTAGTGTACGACAATCTAAGAATCTTTCGAATTATCGAAGCCCTAGAGAGCTCCGGGAAAAACAGGAACCCGATTATGAATTTTCATTTTGGGGCTTCTATATATATAGTGTGGAGGCTGCTAGCAATTAGTTAACGAGTTAGAGGGCCATCCTGGGAGGCCCAATGATCCGAAAATCCATATGAGAAAATTAGTAGAAGGATTAGTCTATACATTTTGCTACTTGTACATAGAAAATATACATGATGATTTACATAATATAATATGGATGGAAATTTTTTTTTATAAAAGTTAATTGTATTTTAAATTGATAAAGTAACATATGATATTATGTAATCCATTATGTAAATCTTTACGTACACGTAGCAAGATCCTTAGTCTATTTGTACACCTTTGATGCATGTAAACAATTATGTACATTAAAAGTGTACATGTAGCATAGCCCTTAGTAGAAACACTTCTTTTATCAACTCATAAATGGAAAATATATCTTGTACATACAATTTACATAATTGGTTACATAATGAAGAAGTGTCAAAATGTAAGTGAAAAAGTTATTTGATTGACGAAATTTTGATCCAATGAAATATTATCACATCATCTATTGGTAAACCATTACGTAAATGGTTATGTATATGTATCAAAACCTCTCATAAATACTATCTTTTCATGTAAAATTATAACTCATCTTCAATCAAATTCCTTTTAACATTCATATGCTTAAATTTTCCATTTAAAGTTTACTGACGAGTAGGCGTACTGTCAATTTATAAATTTAATCAAAATTAAATATTAATTTCAGCAACAGATACATTTTATGGCATCCGCAATTTCATTTATCCCTAATCTTTATAAATGATTGATGAATTTGTCAAATAAAGGCTAAGCGTGTGTTTGTTTCCCATTTCGTGGAAAATAAAATGAGAATTTCGAACGTTATCTTGACAAAGTCGTCTGTCACTGCAAAACCATTTATTGCATTTAATACCCATGTTTCCCCAAATGCCCTCCACCACCAACCCACAGATCTCCTAAATCTCCAGCATCTCTTCCATTGAACCAAGACCTCCACACCACCGAGTACCACAGCAGCCCACTTCGCATACTCGCCGTCGACGACTTCTTGCATATCAGACAAAGCACGTCGCCATACTGTACACAGCGCCCAACCTCCTGCCTTTCGGATTGGTAGATTATTACCAGGGAGCTCTCAAGGACGGGAAGGGCACACCTCCAACAGCGTTTAAGCACAACGCAGGTGATAATCTTGGACTCGTAACCAATTTCCATCGCAACGCAGTAGCAATCGACGATCGTGACAGTCCGATTTTGTTCGCAGATGAGAATAAACCTTTTGGGAATTACTGTTGGAAGAAGGGTGCACAGCATCTCGGCCAATTAAATTCGGTACATCTCATTATTTTGTCCATCAACTTCCGGCTGCCAAGAACGAGAATAAGTTTTCTCGACTTTCAACCGCATCAAAATGTGCCTCGTGAGAACACCCTGTTCCGCTATCTATGGAGCCCTCAAACATACATCACATTTACATTTTCATTCTTTACTTTCCTATTCGAGCTTCATACTTTGTAATTCTGAGTCTTACTTTCCTAGCCAGGTGATGTTCCCCTAGTGAGTTCCTCCATGGCCGCCACAATTGGCCAACAATCGGGGTCAAGAAAGCATACTCGATGGAATCCAGTGGAAAGGCAGACTTTATTGTAGCCTGCGAGACTGCCATTGCCGAAGGACATTGCGTTGGGCAATGTTTCACAAAACACGACTAGGAACGTGTGGTGGCGCTATTCAACTTGGTGTCCGGGCATAGCTGGACTAAACAACAACTCTGCAACCATTAGGACGCGATGCGTCGAGAGCATAGACGTCTGTCGGAGCCGCTTAATAGAAGCAAGGTTGCATACGACGATTCGACTGGCAAAATTGTTGCCTCCGAGGTGTGGTGGTCACGAAAATTTAAGGTAACGACTTTGTCCCTCAATGGTGCAAACGGTGAATCTATAATTCAATTATCGAAATTCCATTGCTGAGATTTCCATTTTGAGGTGACAATTAACAATGTTTTCACATGTCTGACCGGCTTCATTAATCTGAAAATGGTATACTGCCTTTACTTGTTGAGGATACTTCAACATGATTTACGTACTATCGACTTACATTTTGAAAAAATTTGAATCCGTTATGCACATTTTCATAATTGCTCACTGCACCACATAGACAAATGAGGAATGTGGTTTTTTTCAGCCCACATGTTACTGAAGCGTGTTTTACATAAGCAGAAGCCACTTCATTGTGCACGTATTGTACTGCCTTTTTTCCTGCCTCCGCACATAACTCACTGAACTATATTTTGTTGTCATGCATGGGAGGGCATTGGGGGCAAATTGTTGGTGCAATTTTATGAATGGGATATTGGAGTACATTTTTTATGTCCCGTTCACACCTCGTACGATGTTGATTTAACTATTTTTCCCAATTTTATCGTAGGAGTACAAGGACTTCAAGGATTGAGATGTGAGCGACATTTACATTCGATATCGTCTGCTATTGGGGGACAATTACAACAGCGAAAAGTACGCAGTTACCCCAACAAAGCTGTGCAGAACTGGATTTGAATGTTTTGAGGACAATGCTCTTGAAGACCATAGAGATGCAATCCCTGTCGAGGGCGAGGGCAGCAGTTCAAGTGACGAGGGCGACGGGAACGGTAGCAAAAGCATGAGCATGTCTAGGCCCACAAGTGGCGATAAAAGGAAGTCCTCGACATCAAAGCAGCGTGGGAAGAAAAAGCATGTTTCAGCTCGTGAACTGTCCTTCTCGGTCGATCGGGCGAACAGTGCCACTAAGGATGTGGCGGCGAAGATTAACAGCATCATTGATCCGACGGACAATGCCAGAGCTGCATGTGTGGAGGAATTAATTTCGACCGGTCGGCTACAGTGACGAACGCCAATGTACTTCTATGCTTGCACTTTCCTAGCGCAAAAAAGATTTCAAGACATGCTCAGTGTCATGCAAAATGCCGATGAGAAGTTTAAATGGATCATTGCATTAGCTTGTTTCGGTATGCATTGGTTCGACTGTGTGTTACCCTTTGTACGCTTCATGAGTTCGTGTTGTAATATTTTTACCGTGTTGGTTTTTTCCTTGATTACCCGTACGTGCGATATACTCTAGGTTTGCGTGCCGCCTAATGTTGGAAATGTTTATTTGGTGCTACTGTGTTTGTTTTTAATAACATGTTTTCCCATGTGCCTACTTTCCCACTTTCTTAGATATTTTATGTACTTTGTAAGATTTTTTCCTCTGTACATGTCATGCTTGTACCTTAATAATGAATCTATCCCTGACAATGACATACTATCCATTCGTATTAGTCATAAATGCAATAATGGCTCAGCTCCTCACACCTCTACATATATGTTGTTCCACAAGTGGAAGAGCATAACGAGTTTAAGCAAGGGTGTTTTACGTCGCTTTACTACAATATTTTCTAAACATAGTAGTCCGCAAATGGATGTGATGGATTTTAATTGCTTCTTATTCTCGCACTAAGAGGCGGAGGAGGAAATCCACGAGGAGAAAATTTGCAATGGCCTTGCCACGGATGTCAACGCGTGGCTGGAGTACTATAGAGTATCTGATAGTGACGCCCGTAACTACTACAATAGACAGTGACGACGAATTCGCAGATTTTCGTTCGCAAGGAATGGCCACATGTTTATGATAGAGGCATTAGAAGGGAAGGGACGTATGTGTCACCAAGAATTTCGAATGTACTCGCCAATGTTGCAGCATTTCGCTCATATTCTCCGTGACGAGTACGGCTTATGTAGCAACCAGCAGGTGGATATCTAGGAATGTTCCTTTGCATCTTGGTGCATGGTAAGGGATACCGCCAGGTGACAACATTATTCAATCATTCGTTGCAAATAGTATGTCACTATTTCAAGCTGGTGCTTCGTGCTGTCATTGCATTAGCACAACGAATGATCCGTCTAGCTGACAACTACAATGAAGGTGTGGAGCCCCACAGGCCTGACCCGAATAAGCATCCACTATTCCAAGACTGCATTGGCGCTATTGACAGGATGCATGTGAAGGCCGTGCTACCGCGTCACGAGCGTGTGAACTTCATTGGAAGGAAAGGAGTACCAACGCAGAATGTCTTAGCTGCATGCGATTTCAATTTATGTTTCACCTTCGTGCACGCTGGCACCACAGGATGTACGCACGGTGCTCGCATACTAGCTCGTGCAATTCACAGTCCCGAAATACACTTTTTGCAACTGACCTCGGGTAAATATTATTTGGTGGACTCAGGTTTCGCACATCGACCGGGGTATATGGCCCCTTATAAAGGCTCAGATATTCTGTATCACTTCCAACAGTTCGTTGATGATGGCACGGGGCGACGCAGAAGGTTTCGAAATGCGTGTGAGATTTAACTTCAAGCACTCGTCGTGCAGAAACGTCATAGAACATACATTTGGTGTGTGGAAACAGAGGTGGAAAATCCTCGACTGTATGCCTAGCTACCCATTTCCAACACAAGTGGTAGTTGTCGTAGCGACGATGGATATTCATAACTTACTACGCCGTTCAGGGATTATGGACGAGGCGTTCTTGGGGGCGGACACAGATGAGGATGCGCTCGTCAAGGTGGAGCTGTCCAACGCGGAGGACGAAATGCATGGCGAAATGAATGCCGTCGAAATGTGGCGAAATGAATGCCGTCGAAATATAGCGAAATGAGTGGGACAGATTGTGTGACTACATAACACAACGACCATAACGGTGATTCGTAGTGAGTGTCGCTTTTGATCGAAAATTTATCATTGTCATGTACCCACATTTCATATCCATTCCAATTTGGGTGGACGTTGTCACTGTATGGTACCTAAGATTGTTGCATTTTGTATTCGAGTTCAATGAGATTGAGTGCGTTGATAACGTGGGTTGTGAGTAAACAAGGTTTAATTCAAAACGTCGGAGACGAATGTGGCAACAAATTAATGTGAACGAAGCGTGGGTGGGTCAGTTTACTTGGGGGTGTGGCACAAT